TGGGCTATCCGAGGTTTTTTTCCAAACGAATATTACTAGTAGAATAATAATATATATGAAGATAGGTAGATAAAGAGATAAATAGGTTTGTCATAGTTTCAGTTTAAACAAACAGTAAAGAACACTTTGCAAAATTGCTAGTTTTTCTTTTGAATTTCAGATTTTTAGAGTTTAAGGTATGTAAGTATATGAGAGGAATTCCCTTCCATTATTAAGAATTGATACCCACTCGAATATCTTCTTCTCTGTAGTTTGAAAGATAAGGAAAAAAAAGTTAGTCTACAGAAGACCAGACAATACGACATCTACAAGCTATTTCGGCATACATGTCAGTTATAAGCGCCGTGACGGTATGGAGGGGAATCGCAAAGTAACTGTCGATATGGTGAAAACGTTCAGTGTCGAAAACGATTTGATGGCCTGGTTTGTGAACGTGAAATTGGTAGCGAGACTGCAAAAAACCCCACAACATCGCAAACTTTATGTCCCTGTTTTTAGAAGGAGACGCTTTGACCATATATCTCCAGTTGACCGAAGAGGATCAACGGGATGTAAAGAAAATAGAGGCTGTTAAAAACAGCCTTTACGGACAGAGTTTTTTCTGCATATGCAAAGCTAGTGAAAATGCGGTGGACCGGCGAAGCCGTTGATGTGATCATGAGAGGGTGAGGGCGTGTAGTTTGAAAGATGAGGAAAAAATAAAGTTAATCTACAGAAAACCAAACAATACGACATCTACATTCTCAAATACTGTTGCTTGGTGGGACAGACTCGTGACAGAAGGTTTCTTAATCAATACAAGTTTCATCTCTAAGCTTAACCGTTTTATTTCCTACATAAGCTCATGAACTTCTTGCCTTTTCTTACGCTCATGCAAAACCACAGAGCAACCTTGAGTTTTGGTTAGACATTAGTTTAAAAAATGAAAAACGATTACCCCACATTCACTGTAATGCAAAACTGATTTCTAATGTTAAGAGGATAAACTATGACTAAAAAGATGGCGGGAAATTTAATTCATTTGCTTCTTAGCAACGTTTATTAGATAAGTAGTGGTGAAAAATGGAAAACAAATAAAATCTAGTTAAATAATTATGAAAAATCGAGTATAAAAATGAAAATGTAATCCAAAACAACTGAAAGAGAAATGTAATAGCGTGTTGAATTAATTGAGAATACGTTTTTAAATAAAATATTAACAGTTCTTTGAGATCTGGATTCAATAAATATCCATTCGAACGCATATAAATGCATGTAATTTGATCGGTAATTATTATTATTATTATTATTATTATTATTATTATTGTTATTATTCGCCTTGCTTTGATTTCTAGTGTGTACTTATATTATAATAACTATTATTATTATTACTATTATTATTACCATTATAATGATTATTATTAATATAATTACTATTATTATTATTACTCTTATTATTACTATTATTACGACTTTTATTACTATTATTATTATTATAACTATTATTATTACTATTACTGTTAGTATTACTAATAATATTACTATTATCATTATTACTATTATTATGATTATTATTAATATGATTACCATTATTATTATTACTCTTATTATTACTATCATTATTACTATTACTACGACTTTTATTACTATTATTATTATAACTATTATTATTATTACTATTAATAGTACTATTATTATTATCATTATTACTATTATTAGGATTATCATTAATATGAGTATTATCATTATTACTATTATTATTATTACTATTATTATTATTACTATTATTATTGCTATTATTACTATTTATTATTATTACTATTATCATTATTACTATTATTATGATTATTATGATTTCTATTATTATTATTACTATTATTATGATGATTATTAATATGATTACTATTATTATTACTGTTATTATGAGAATTATCATTATTACTATTATTATTTTATGATAGTTGTTGGTGTTAATAATAATAATAATGATAATAATAAGGCAGATTAAAAAAGAACAATAACATCAAAGATTGCAGTCTGTTGTCATTTACCGATTGACTTAATCTTGCCAAACATTTGCTTACGCCCATCGGCAAAATTTTCCGGTCGAATTACTTGTGCCGTAATAGAAGGAAACACCTACTGATTTTGTACTTAGCGAAACCCGAACGAAGTGATCGTAAATGTCGCATATGAGTGGGCCCGTGATAGCTTTGACGTCAATTGACCGCAGTAAGAGACTCACACCCAACAAACACCAAAATAAAAGGGGGGGGGGGCACCGACGCAAGAGTGAATATAAAAAACCACACGTTGTATAGAAACAAACGTTAAAGCGCAAATCTCTCGTATGTCATTGAATATAAAAAAAGAGATTCTCAAGAAACTATGTCCAGTGGAACAAGAGCACGGAATATAAATTTATTTTAGTGTCTTTACTTCATCCGATTATTTTCTAAGTGCACATGCAAACAAACCGTGTATACATATACACACGGGTATATGCATGAGTGTGCAAGTACACGTCTTTGGCTGTCTGTGTATGTGAGAATGGTGTGATCATTGTGACAATCAGATAAACATGATAGCAAATGAAGGAAATAAATTGTAAATAAATATAGATTAATTGGAATATATCGAAAATTGCAACGGCTAATATTACTATTATCATTATCAGTTATGCCATGGCAGACAATCTCATGTATATATATATATATATATATATATATATATATATATATTATAGGAGATTACGTTTAACTTAACTTTCGTAAAAGAGGCAACACTTTTTTAAAAAGATTTCTTTAGTTACTTACCATCGTCTGAAGAATACAATAATATTATTGAAACATGAAAGCTTTTGTGTAACGATTTCGAAATGTTTTTTATTATAATCTATTATGATAAATAATAATAATATATTGCTCTACTTTGTATTGAGCACTTTTTAAAAAATAAATGTAACGCACATTGGATTTTAACACCATCTTTTCTTTCTATATATATATATATATATATATATATATATATATATATATATATATATATACACATATATATATATATTATACACATATAAATATATATATATATATATATATATATATATATATATATATACGCTTTTATAATTAAGGAGTCATGAATCTTTGCTTGTGTTTTTTATATATTGAAGTGATAAAATCATCGTAATTAAGAGGCATCTGGTTGCGATAAAACAGTTTAAAAGGCGTCTTTATTTTATAAAAGCAAGTGTCCTCACAAATATGAAATAGATATTATTAAAAAAAAACATGATAAGAGTGCGAAAATGTAACATATAATTCGCTGGTATATAAATGTTATTAACATAAGACAAATTTTAATAGATAATTCTGTGTAAAATAAAGTTGGTTATGAATTCTCATGACCTTTGTGAGATTGTATCTCCAACATTAATAATCAACAAATAGCTTTAAATGCTTACATTGGCCACACATGAACCACATTCACCCGTAGGTTGACTTGTCATTTGTCAAACATTTGTGCATTTCCCACACATATATATCAACAATTAGATAATTAAAAA